GGAATGAGGGCATGGTGCTCCCAGGGTGGCAACAGCTCTCCTCATCTGAGAGAAGTTTCCTCCCGTTGCCCTCTCCATGTGAGGTCCCTCCTGCCACTGGCTTCCCAATATCGGAGCGAGCCCAAGCTTCCTCCTCGCTCACAGCCCCAGATCCAATCAGTCCTCAGTGGCAGCTGCTCCGTGCTCCCCAGAACCCCTCGATCTACCCTCCGTGTCCCTGCACGGCCCTATCAGCATTCCCCCACTTGACATCTTGCCCGCACATCAGTCTATGCACAGTTCCCCAGTTTACCTCCCAGAGCACAACTCTGCTCATGCCTATGAAGACTCCCCATTGCCTCAACTGGACCAGCGCTTTCCCACCCATATTGGGGTTCAGCTGTTCTTTCGGCTTAGAATGTCCCTTCTGTTCTTCATGGTCCACATTTTCCTATCCTATCAGCCCCAGTTAAAAATCCTGCTCCTTCTAGTAGGTTCCCTGCCACCTGCCCTCTTGTTCCCAGTTTGTCTCTCCTCCTATCAAGAGCCTTGGCCCAGGGTATCTTGTATGACGTGACTACCAGAGGGCAGGCTGGAGCTGTGTGATGCTTTGAACACAGACCTCAACAGAGCTTGTCGTATGAGGTTGTTGAGTGGGGCTGGGGGACTGCTCGTCTTCCTCAGCTCAGATGCCGCTAAAGCCATTGCACATGCAGCAAGGCCTGGCTCCTCTTTCGCTGCCACTGATTGCAGCCCCTGCTTAAATGAGAATCCCTTGTTAGTCAGTACCTAGTTTTGAGTTATCTATGTGGTAACTAAGATCTCAAGTCAAACAGAGTTAAACAACATAAAAAAGATTTAAACAACATAAAAGTCCCAGAGGACTGAAATGTCTGGGAAGAGGAGGACTTTAGGCGAGGTCTGATCTAGCAGTTCAGATGATGCTTCCACAGGCCTGGACTCCCTCTGCCTTTCTCGATGCTTCCTTCACCTTCATGCTCCAGGAGGTGGTTGCTGCCAGCCTAACCTCGCTCTTCTACCCCCAGTAGCTCTGGGCCGTCCACTCAATGCCATTGGTATGGTACTAATGAGTTCACTTCTCTACACTGCATGGTTCAGAGAAGAGAGAACATCTCTCTCAAGAGTTTGAAGAGGAATCTGAGGGGCTTGGCTCTCATAGGCTTGAATTGAGCCACATGTCCATTCCTGAACCAATTTTTGTGATGGGAAGGGGGGCAGGGAGGATGAAATACTCTCATTGGCTGAGCCAGTCAGGACCTACCCTGGAGAGGTATCTATTTCACCCAAACCTTGTGGCTCAGAAACAGGGTGGGGAAGTAGGAAGTGCTCCGCAAAGGAAATTCTGGGTCTGGATTACCGCAAGGGTAGATGGGTGACAGTGGGAAAAACCCAGATGTCTGTTATAGGGGGATGTGACAAGAGGCAGGAGCAGTGCCAGCCACCAGGGGGTGCCAACCTTACCACTCCTGCACCTCAGGCACAGGGGCTTGCCTCTGAGCTGGAGAGGACGAGGCAGCAGGGATCCAGCTCCCTTGAATGTGCTCAGTGGTGCCCCTCCCAGCCTCACAAGGCCCCCACCCCCCATGATTCCTTCCATCCTGGTCTCCAGTCATCCTCACCTGGGGTCTGCTCCCAGACCTGGCCTCTGCCCCCAGCAGATGGAGCTGCTTTCCAGCTCAAGAAGCCCAGCTTTGGGAGTCTCCCAGCCTAGAGGACATAGGAAGAGCTGGGAGTCACAGGGATAGCATACCGAAGGGGCACACCCTCCCCCCTAACTCCTCTGCCTCATTTCCACTAGATCCCTGCTTTACTCTTTTTTTTTTTTTTGAAGATTTTATTTATTTGAGAGAACACAAGCAGGGGGAACACCAGGCAAAGGGAGAGGGAGAAGCAGGCTCCCCACTAAGCAGGGAGCCCAATGTGGGACTCTATCCCAGGACCCTGGGATCATGACCTGAGCCGAAGGCAGGTGCTTAATGACTGAGCCATCCAGGCGCCTCCCCACCCTGCTGCCCCCAGCCCCCACGCTTTACTCCTGAGACAACTGGGTCACTGGAAAACCAGAACCAATGGAGGAAAGGTAGTAAATTTTTCAGAAGTTTATTGATCAACAGATTGTGTCTTCTTTTTTGGTTTGACATTTCTAAACACGATTACAAAAAAATAGAAGCATTGTGTATTAACTGCATTGGCTAATAGACATGTAACTTAACACTCTTAAATTAGGCCCGTGTTTACCTGAATAAACTCAGTGGTTATCTGTCCTAAGAATGTTATTTCTCTGCTACATTCCTCAAATAAAGAGCACCTCTGTTAACCGCTTTCCTTCTCTTCAAGGCAGTTTGCCTGGGGTACTACTCTGAGCATCATGAAGGAGTGTAATGGTGCAAAGTGGGGAGGTCCCTGTGGGGGCTGTCGGACCATGACTAGTTTCTTAGCCCCCTGGCTGGGCAGTGGGCTGCAGTAAGACATGCCCGGTGGGCGGGCAGCTCCTCAGGAGACCCCACGGAGCATGGCAAAGGGCTGTGGTCAGACGGCTGGGGGTCAGGGCTCTGCGGAGTTTTCCCCTGTGGGCTGGTAATGGGGGGGGGTGTTAAGAAGAGGGTAGGAGGCATTGGCTTCTCCACGCATGCTCTTTGACCCACCTGGACATGCAGTCCCGTGATCCAGAATTTAACTCCTCAAAGGCCCACCACCATCTTGCAGGAGGAACCACAGCTCCAGATGGTTAGACACTAGCTGCGTCATGACGAGTGCTCCAAGGAGAAACCAGTCCAGCCCCAGAAAGGCGGAAGCCAGCTGAATGCATGCCCCTCCCAATCGCAGGGGGACCCCTGGGCCATCCCCGGGTGCGGGTGAGGAAGGAATCCATGTAGGATGCTGGGCTGGAGCGTGAGGCTGGAGCAGGCTGGATGTCTGCGTGTTGCCATGAAACCAGAGGGTTTTGAGAGGTCTTGGTGCACTGTTTCTCTGCAATTGGTTCAGGAGGGCCTCATCAGCAGGTTTCCAGCTTGCAAGCTGACTTTGGGAGGAGGAGGCTGAAACTGCTTTCCTCTTACACTTGAGGCTGCAGAGGTTTGTTACGTGGGACCCGGGGCTGTAGAGTCAAGATTCTTCGATCTTTTGTGGAATTGTGGAGAGCATGGCATCTCACAGTGCTAGGGTTTGCCTACCTCTGCCCTCCTGCCCAGCTTGCAAACTCTGTGGAGAGGCTACTTTTTAAAATTGGGGTGGTGTGGGGAGGGCAGTGCGGTCAGGCAGTGTGAACAGAATTCTAGAGGGCTCTGCTGTCCCCCAGCCCTGCTGCATGGGGAGGCAGGATAAGGGGCATTTTGGACACAGACTCAAGGAACTTGGTGCAGGTCCTGGGAACATACAGGTCCCCACCCTTGGCCACCATTCCTGAGGTTTTCCAGGGCTTTTCTTTTCAAAGTTCTTAATCAACTTTTCATGATGAATGACTTCAAGTTTTAAGAGAAGATGTTAAGAAAAATGGGCAAGGGATTTCCTTTTTTTTTTTTTTCTTCCTCAGCAGGGAAAGGAGGCAACTGCCAGATGTCACCTGACAGCATGGGGGTGGCAATCACAGTGCCACCAGAAGTTTCCTTCCGCAAAGAAAGCAGAAAGCTCAGTCTGTTGCAAGCTTTCCTATATGTCTCTGCATAGACAAAACTTGCCCCATCTGCCTATATACCCAATGGCAAGTACCAAGAAAACATACTCACACAGTGTATGTATATATATGTATATCTTTATGTAGGATGACTGAGAAGAATTAAAGGAGCAGGATAATTCTCAATGGAAAATCAGTGAACCCTGGCATCTCTAAACCTTTGGATCAATGAATTCTCTCTCTTCCCTCTGCTTTGCCCTTTGGTGGACTCCCTTGTGGGCACACACTTGGGCAGTCCTCATGCTTTCACCAAACCATCTGCTTGCATCATAGTACTGACATACACCTTTCTTGGTTATGTTTCTGATTAATTTAAAATTAATTTAATTTAAAAGTGCTCATTAAGATTAAAAATCATATTATGAATTTACTTCTCTTAAAGTGACATTATTTAGAAAGTGAACTAGGGAGTGTGGGGACTGGCCTCTGGATTAAAGCTTCCCCAAAATAAAAATCTTACAGGGGATATCAGAGAAAGAAAAAAAATATGTGGTTTTTGGAAGGCTTGGGTGGGACAGTGATGATTTCCTTTCCTTTGGGGCCCTGTGACTATCCCTGTTTTGTGCCTCTCTTTTGTACTGCATGAATAATAATGAAGTGATTCTGGAGCTGCAGCCCACAGAGGGAGTGGTGGCAGTGAGAGTTACCTGTCTCTACCTCCCTCTGACAGGCACCTGGGCGAGTGGACCAGACAGCTTTATACCGAGACAGAGAGAGAGCATTCAGGAACCAAATCCTGCCTTGTGATGGGCAGGCACCATATGAACTCACAGCCTTTTGAAGAAAAGGTTTCATATGAAAGACTCTGTCCTGTTTCTGTATAAAGGCTTTTCCTGTAAGAAAAAAAAACTGGACATAATAAAAATGCCAACTTTTTTTTTAACTAAAAAATAGTGTCTAAAGCTAGAGAATGACCTTTTCTACCTGGCAGCCTGGGGTGGGCTCACCTTGTATTCCCCTTATGTCCCTAGGCCCAGCACACAGCAGGCACCAAGACGCGGGTTTAACTTTAACTCCCTCCATTGACCAAGGAGCCTTGGGGAGGTGTCACCACACTAACTGATGGCTGCAGAGAACCATCTCTTTCCTTTACTGTGGTTTGATTATGATCAATAGACTTTGCTACAAATTATTGGACAGACCTGTAAGAAAAGCCAACCTTCAGACTTTGACATGACTTGAATACCAGAAATCTTACCAGGGGCTAATAAAGTTTCTGAGTTCCAAATTCCTAACCAAATGTAACTCTGTGGGGCAGGGTCTGGGGTGGGGGTAGTAGCTATGGTTGGATTAGTCAGGAAGGTGCTGGTTATCAGAGATGCTCTCCGCTGGCCTGGCTGCCTGCCTGCTTGAGCCTGCAGGGGTGGATGGGGGCAAACATAGGCACAGACTCGGGGGGAAGCAGTCTTCTCTTTGGTAGATGGCCTGGAGAGAAGAGAAACCTTCTGTGCTATTGTTTTCCACTCTCAATACAGCAGGAAATGAAATAAATAAGATCAACTTTGCTCCCTCCCAGTACGCTCTAAGGGACAGACAGGAGCCAAGGCAGATGCGTTGTGCTGTGTGGCCCAGCACAGGCTTGCTGGCTCCGGGAGGGCCCTCAGCTCACTCCCTGGGGTTGTGGGATTCTATCCAGCCTGCCTCCTGTCTACATCTCTCCAGCCTTCCAAGGACTCTTTGGTCAATCTCTCCTTTTTCTCAACCCTTCCATCTCCTTATCCACCCCCTCCTCCCAACATTTGAATAGAAACTCAGGAATTTTAGAGGTGAAAGAACCTCATCTGGTGTCCTGTGTCTGCCCTTCTCATTCCACAGGTGGGGGAACTGAGGCACAGAGAGGGCGGTGCTGTGGCCAGGGTCAGTGAGTCAGTGGGCAGCATGGGCCTCGGGCCCAGGCCCTCCCGCCCTCACTCCCTATTGCCCATGGCCTGCCCTGAGAGTGGCCCGGCCCTCAGTCGGCCTTCGGCATGGACTTCCTGTGGGAGGGGGGCACGAGGTGGGGGGGCAGGCTGTTGGGCAGCTCGTAGCCGTCAAGCTTGATCTTGATGAGGTGCTTGGCCAGTGCGAACTCCTCTTCATCCAGCATGCCATCACAGTCACAGTCGGCCAGCTTCCAGATCTTGCCCAGGACACTGTTGGGCAGCTTGGATGTCACCATTTCCTTCTTGGCGTTGACTCCCGATATCTTGCCATTGATGGGCGACAGGGTGTAGAAGAGCTCGTCGTAGACGGGCTTGTCTTTGGCCACAACCCACTCCTCCTCGTCTGCGCCCTCCTTGGCGCCCTCCCCATAGCCCTGGTTGAAGGGGCCCTCGGTGGTGCCGTCGAAGGCCCCGCCTTGCACAAGCTGTGTGGGCATGCTGCTCTCCTCCTGGCTGATGAGGTTCATCAGGGACGAGATCTTGCTGCTCAACATGTTGTCCACTGCCTCGATCAGCTTGGGCTTCAGCGAGTGGAACCTGGTGAAGTCATAGTTCTCCAGCTGTTCCTGCAAGAGGAGAAACCACAGAGTTGGTCACAGGCCCTCCCTTCAGGAAGCAGGCCAGGAGAGGGAGGGCAGCAGGCAGAACTGTCCTGTAAACAGACATCCCATCCCGGGGCTGCTCTGGAGCTCTCTATTTGCTGGAGTCCCCACATCTGAATCCACCAGATCCAGGATTGGCTTATGGAACAAGAAACAAGATGCAGGGAAGACAACAATTTTTTACAGCAACCAATCTTTGGCTGGAAGTCATGTGAGGGATAGCAGTCCCCTAAAGGCTTTCTGACACCTTGTCTTTTTTTTTTTTTTTTTTGGTGCTCTAGAGATTCAACATTTTTTTTAAGATTTTTATTTATTTGGCAGAGAGAGAGATAGGCTGAGATACAGGCAGATAGAGGGGGAATCAGGCTCCCCGCCAAGCAGAGAGCCAGATGCGGGACTCGATCCCAGGACCCGAGCTGAAGACGGAGACTCAACCAACTGAGCCACTCAGGTGGTGATTTTTATCATTTTTTATCTTTTAAGGTGATCTAATGACACACTTCCGTTGATCTTTACAATAATGCTGGGAGCAAAGAGGGGCAGGGGTGAATAACCCTGTTGGATGCATAGCCCGTGGGGTGTTCTGACAGAGCCGAAACGAGAGCCCATGGCTTCCTGCCCCTTGACGAATGTTCTTTTGTGCTGTAACATGAAGCTGTGTCAAAGGGTCTTTTTAGGTAAAACAACTATTTAAGAATGTTGTTTTTGGATCAGTTAAAAAAAAGTGTCGTTTAAGGTACAATTAAGTAAAAGTTGAAACTGCTGAATGGGAGAAGAGTAGGGATGGGGAGGGTGAGTAGAGATCCAGCCGGTAAGGCTGAGTATCACTAGTCCGGGCAGGGCAGGTCTCGGCATCACTTGCCAGGAGAACGGGCCCATCAACAGACAGAGTGGCAGGAACACGTGCACCGCGGAAGGCCCTGGGACACAGCAGTTGCCCAACTCGGACAGGAGCCAACTGTAGATGACACATAAGCTCTGTGGATGGTTCTGTAGAAACAGTCCTTCCTACCTTGGTTCTCCTTGGTTACTCTGCCTCCCATCCATCCATCCATCCATCCATCCATCCATCCATCCATCCATCCTTCATCCATCGACCCATCCAACATTTACTGGCCATTGGTATTACCAGGCCCTGTTTGGGAGTCTGGGGATAATATAATGATGAGGAGCCAATCTCTGCCCTCAGGGAGCTTATGCTCTAAGAGAGGGAAAACATTCTAGTTTTTTTAGCTCCTGCTTACTTTCAAAAAGGGCTTGACTTAGCTTACAATGGAAAAATGATAACATGAAATAGAAGAGAGTCATTAGAAAAGGAAAAGCTAAGTAATTAAAGGGGAGAGGAAAGTACCATCACATCAGACTTCAAAGGTGAGAAAAGCTACCGCTCCTCAGAAGCCGTGGCGGGGGTCCTGGGGGGCACAGCCTCTCACGGCCTGAGGGAAGAAACCATCTGTTCGTTGTAAGAGACATGCTTTTTCTGAATTGTGACAGTTACCTGGGGCCTTTTCTGATCTTTGAAAAATGTTTTCAACAACAGTTTTGCTGAATAAATGCAGAAAGTTCCAGATAAGGAAGTTTTTATATGGGCTTTATGTGAAATATTTCTGTTAGGGAAATTCTAGAAGGCCAGCAAGGGGCTGTCCACGTGTGCACTTTCCTGGAGATGAGGTAGGAAGACCCTTGAGTAGAAGAGGTTTCACTCAGACCTCACTGTTCTGGGCAGAAGTAATGTGACGGGCAATTGGTGGGGGTAGGGGAGCAGAGCTTTGTGCAATCATAAATATCACAACTTTATTGTAAAAATTTGGGGAAAAAAACTGATAGATAAAATAAAAAATTTAAATCACTTATAATTCCATCCCCCAGCAATAACTTCTGCTAACTTTCCTTGGGCACACATTGCTAGCCATTTTTATAAATGTGTGCACGTACACGTGCGCGCACGCGCATGCGCGCGCACACACACACACACACACACACACATACTCTTTTTAACTGAAATAAGACCACACTGTTTGACAATTTGCATTTTTAAGAAAAAATGTATCACATCTTTCCCTGATAATGATTGTTATAAACCTTATTCCTAAGACCCATACAACACTGAACGGTCCAGCTGGGCCATTCCTCATTTACTCTATCCTGTGTGGTTGGACGTGTTTCCATTGGAGAGTCAAAACTGTGATGTTCAGAGGGTGCCAGTAGGACAGACATTCTGTGCTGTTACTTAGAAGGGCAGCCCTGAGCTTCAGATGGATGGACAGAGTTAAAAGCTAAACAGCTCGATGGATGTGTAGAGAGGCACCTCCAATACTCTTCTCAGTAGCAAACTGTGACCCCTTCAAACCATGCAGGGCCGGGCTGGGCTGATACCCTGCGGGCAGCCTGTGCCCCGCTGAGAGCTGCAGGGTGGTGCAGGTCCGGTTTCTAAACCCCTTCCCATTTGTGTGTCGTCTGTCCTTTCCAATAGACCGCGGTCACCTGTATGGTGCTCCAACACCAGGACTCAACAATGTTCCCAATACTTCGGGCTCTAACTGCCACTCGCTTGTTCAGCCAGGGTAATGGAGAAGAGAAAGCCCAGGAGGAGGAGAGCGGGCAGCCTACACAAAAATCCAAGTGCTACTGGGGTAAACAAGTCTGGATTCCCCTGGGTGCACAGACACCTACCCTCCTGCTTCATGAATGGGCCTGAGTTCTGAGCACACACAAAGCCCCAGTGTCTGGCCAAGCAGACGAAGGAGGGTGGTGTCTGCCCGAACTTTCCACCCTCCCGCGGGGTACGTGCATTCAGAAGGCAAACCTCTGGAAAGCTGGCAAGGGGAAATGGCCACGTGGTTGCAGGGGTGGACAGGAAGTAACAGCAGCAGCCACCCCTTGCCTGGAGGGTGCAGAGGAAACAAACCCTATACTCTCATCCCAAGGCCTGACAAGGGAGTATGGGGTCTGAGTTAAACCTCCGCCATCCCTGCCCTCCACCGAGTTCGCTCCAAAAAGACATCTTTGTATTGGGATGAATACACACTGGGGAATTTAAAGATTGACCCGTCAACAATTGCCTCCATCGAAGCCACCAAGCCCGGGATCCTGGAACTTCTCCCTCCCAAGGCACAAAGGTCAGTTCCTGGCCGGGTCTTTGCTGGCCTCCCTCTTGCCCACTCACTCCCGGCATTCACCAGAAGCACTTTCCCAGTTTCCAGCTGGGCTGAGCAGGTGGGGAGGGCTCTGCTGCCCTCTGCTGTGGGAACGCGGCCAGCTGGTCAGCCAACGGGGGCGCATTCTCAAAGGAGGGAAACTGAGTCTGCGCTCCAAGGGGCCTTGCTCATGTTCTCCTTCTCCAGTTTGGACCCTGCTGTGTGGTTAAATCAGATTCCCTCCTGGAAGGAGGCAGGGCAGACGCGGGCTACTTCACCAGCAGTCACGGGCCTCTCTCAGCACCACATAAAGGCCTTCAATACGTTTAGATCATTGCTTCCACTGAGTCACCCCAAGCAGCATGGTCTGTGAGGACACAGGGAGATCAGAGACAAAGCTGGCCTTGGGGAGGTCTCTGAGTGGCCCTCAGATGCTCAAAGATCCTAACAAAGTTATCTCCCAGCTTGTGTCCCCACTGCCATCCCAGATGTAGTGGATGAGAGGAGGAACACCTGTGCTGGAGGGGAGGTCAGATGCTCCACAGAATCCAAGACGTCGGAGACCCCGGCCCCCACCATCAACCCCCACAAAGCTTCCTGGGTGACAGCAAACTAGTTCGAAGTGTCAGGTGATGGTAAGCATCCAGGCCTGTTTTGTCTCCTGAGGAGTCCCTGAAGGGGCTGGGGTGCTGTGGTCAGCACCTGGCCAGCTTCCCAAGAAGCGTCCCCATCTCTCTACAAGCTGTGTGGGTGTCAGGGTGAGGTCAGGGTTCCAGAACGTCACTACCCCGCCGGCCTGCTCGGATAGAAACACAAACTAACTTACCAAGGAGCTCATCTAACTACACATGGGGCACCTGCTACGTGGCAGAGGCCAGGGATATGGTGGTGCCCAGGACGTGGGTCCCTGGCCTCCTGGAGCCTCAGGAGGGAGAGAATTGCTGAGTGAATCAATGAATTACAAGGGAGCACAACAGCTATTTGTTTGTTGTGCTGTTTGCTCACGGATTTATCCCAGGGGCCCAGAACAGTGCCTGAGACGGTACACTTAATATTTCTTGGTGAGTGAACGAATGAACATGGGTGAATGGGGGGTACCCGTCAGGATGCACTCCTTGCTCCAAAGGCTGGGGGCTCTCAGGTGTCTGCTGATGGTGCTAAGTAAGGCCTCTCCTGAGATGCTAGTTAAGGGGCCCATACTTCCTTGTCTTCTTCCCCAGGGACTGCCCCTCTGCTCCAACTCGGAGAGGCCTGGTTTCCTCTGACATGGTTGAGCCAAGGCTATGAGAACATGGCTATGAGAAGCTCTGGTTGGGGGCGCACTACAGGCGTTATGGGACTTCACCTGGGACAGGCCTGCAGGTCCTATAAAGGAGGCTTACAGAGGCTTCCTGCTGGGCTCAGTGATGCCTCAGGCCTTGGGAGCAGCCCCTTCTTGTGGGTGGGGTGCTGTGCTCTCTCAAGAGGCTAATGAGGCCATAGTGTACACTGTGTTTTTCTTCATAGCTTTCATTACAATCAAAAAGCCAATTTCCCTTAAAAAAGATCTGCAGGATGCAAGGAGATCACTGTCCCTCAGTTTGGTCACGAGGTACAGAGCATAGCTGAAGGGCATGAAGGCGGGCCTGCCCAGGAAGACCGCTCCAGAGGCCCCGCAGCCTTCCAATTAGCCATCTTGTGATTAAACACCCCCACCCCCCAATTCATCTTCTGAGTACGGGACTACCTATTTCATTTCTGGAAGAAAAAAAGGAGTTCTGGATTTATTTTGAAGCCAGCTAAGTCGTACCTGACCACCTCATGTATCCCACATGCTCTTACCACCTTGAACTCTGCCATCTCAACAGGAAGTATGGCCCACTCCTATGCTAGTGTGTCCTTTATAGAAAGGGTTTATGCTGTGGAACTCCCCAGGGCCAAAGCTTCCCCTCCTGCTCCCTGTTGATCCTTATCCCACTGCTCTGTCTCTCCTCCTTTGATGCTTTTCTGAGGCAGCCAGGCAGCTCGGCGGCCCACCTTCCAGGGGCATATCTCCTGCTCTTCCTCTAGCCCCATCCTTCTCGGTGGCTCAGGGCAGAAGATGGTACCTGGAGGTCTCCAGGGTGTGGCCAGAAGCAGGGCATAGGCTGCCCAGCCCGCCCCCATGGCAGGCCCCCACAAGTTCTCACTGTACTCGTAGGCTGGTTTTCCACCTGGGAGAGTCCTGTTTCTGAGAACCCACATCTCCATCAAATGTGGGAAGACAAGAAAGAATCCAAGAGGACGATGTGGTTTTTCTTTGCCTGGCCTGCCTCACTAGCTATGGGCATCTGAGTTTGTGTGGCCTGCTTTCCAGGAAGAATAGTGGCCTCTGGTACAGAGATGGGTTCTTGCTCTGGACAAAATGATGGTCAGTTTGGCTGACTATTTTTATTTAAATTCAATTTAGTTAACATGTAATACATTATTAGTGTTGAGGTAGAATTTAGTGATTCATTGGTTGCATACAACACCCAGGGCTCATGACATCACGTGTCCTCCTCAATGCCCATCACCCAGTTACCCTATTGCCCCACCTCCCTCCCTCCCCTCCAACAACCCTCAGTTTGTTTCCTAGAGTTAAGATTCTCTTATGGGGCTGCCAGGGTGGCTCAGTCGGTTAAGCAACTGCCTTCAGCTCAGGTCATGATCCCAGGGTTCTAGGATCCAGACCAGCATCAGGCTCCATGCTGAGGAGGGAACCTGCTTCTCCCTCTGCCTACAGCTCTCCCTGCTTGTGCTCTCTCTCTCTGACAAATAAATACATAAAATCTTAAAAAAAAAAAAAAAAAAAGAGTCTCTTATGGTTTGCCTCCATCTCTGTTTCTATTTTTCCTTCCCTTCCCCAATGTTCATCTGTTTTGTTTCTTAAATTCTACAAGAGTGAAATCATATGGTATTTGTCTTTCTCTGACTTATTTCACTTAGCATAATACCCTCTAGTTCCATCTACATCGTTGCAAATGGCAAGTTCTCATTCCTTTTGATGGCTGAGTAATATTCCATTGTAGAAATTTACTTCTTGAAATGTGTCCCTTTTTGGTTCAATGTTTTGGGGAGGCAGGCAATCTCTGTTTTATTCACAGAAGCCTATTATCATGGATCACAATTAGGAAGATGCATTCATTGTATTCTCTATCCTTTTTTTTTTTTTTTTTAAAGAGGGGGGTGGGATAGAGGGAGAGATGGAATCTTAAGCAGGCTACACAGCCAGGGCGGAGCCTGACGTGGGGCTTGATCTCACAACCCTGAGATCATGACCCGAGCCGAAATCAAGTTGGACGCTTAAGTGACTGAGCCACCCAGGCAACCTGTGTTCTCTATCGTAAACCATGAAACCCTCATGCGTACCCAGCAACCAGCCAGACAAGGTGGTGTTGCCTCTCCCTTACACCCATGAGGCTACAATGAGCTCCCAGTACCTGCATTGCCTTGACTTCTGGGAAGTCCCCAGCAGAAATCTGGTATTCTCGCTGCAGCTGAAGATAGATTTCTGGCAATCTGCTGATAAGCTCTCTCTTCTTGTTTTCCTTTCCGAATACGCTCGGCATCTCCTTCTTCAGGTGGCTGATAATGTAGGCATGGACCTAAAGGGGTACATGTCAGTAAGGACACGCTATTTAGAACTGCACCAGAGAGAGACACAGGTCAGTGTCTTAAATGTATCATAACATGGAACAGGTGCCCAGCAGGACCATGGCCCTCGGGACAGAAGGGAGGGGATCAGGGGTAGGGGGTTGGGGAGTACATTATAAGTCTGCTTCTGGGTGTACAGAATGTGAGGTACATGAAGGACCCCCCAGATGGCACTGTCTACAGGTGCCTAAAAAGAGGCCCCCCTGGCCCTCCTCCCCCACCCCCAGCTCCGAGTTGGCCTGGGTGCTGGGTTTGAGAGCAGAAGCAGAGGTGGTGCCTGGAACCACAGGAGTGGTTGAGACCACCAACGGAAAGTGAGCAGAGAAAACCCCACCAAGAAGGACCAGGAAGGGGGGTGGGCTGTGGCAGATAAATGCTATAGGAAAGGAGAGGCAGGAAAAGGGGACAACTGAGCTGGACCCCAAAGACAGGGAGGACATGAGGGAGGGCTGCGGCCGTCCAGGAGTGGAGAGCATGGATGGCAGTGCGGAGGTAACACACTGTGGGCCGTATTTGGGGTGCTGTGTATGTGGCTGTGACACGTATCCACAGGCAGGGAGGGCAGACTGCTGTGGGTGCCAGGAGCTGATAGGAGGATCAGAATGAGCCTCTGCTAACCTACTGTGGTGCTAATGAAAATTCTGGAGACCAGGGGCAGGAACAGTGCTGTGAGCTCCCTGCTTTGGAAGCTGGCCAGTGGTGTGAGGCCGGGGATGGGGGGTGGGGACTGACTTGGGCAAGGTCTTGGGCACAGTTCAGTTGTGCCTCTGAGTGGCTGTTCCAAGTCTGCGCAGGGAGTGAGCGGGATGGGTGGGGCCTAGGCAGAAAGACCTCAGTTCTGGCAATTAACCGGAAGACCTGAAGAAAGTTTCAGCAGGGCACCAGGAAACGAAACTGGAGGCTGAGGCAAACGGCTGATCTGATGTAAATGGCTAATAAGTGGCTAATCTTCATGGAAATCTGTGCCAAGTGAACCCCTAGGGAGATGGAAAGTCTTATAACCTCCCCATGGAGAGTTTGAACCCCAGGTTCTCTACAGATGGCACTGAAGTCGTTTCTGCACAAGTCCTTCCCACCCCAGCTGTGTGGTACCAGGCTGGATGGCAGAAGCTCCCACTGGGAGAGGGACTCCAGGTGCATGAAGGGGAAGCTTCAGAAACCCTGATCAGCTGGCGGAAGCAGGTCCAGGACTGTCACCCGAGGGGTGGTGAACCCTGAAGGGGGGTGGGGGGCTCTGCTCGGCTGTGTCACCCCTTTGTCAACATTTCCACTCTTCTGCTGATTTCCAACTTTAGGATGAGAAGAAATGTTCTTTACAAAAGTTCTCTTTGTATGCCAGAATTCTGTAGAGTCATTTAGAAGTCAAGAAAATAAAATGAGAATGGATGAAAAACAGAACAGTGGTGACAAAAAAGAAAATGACTAGGCAGCTATGGGAGCTCCTTTATTAAAGAAAACAGACTTCTGTCATCTTGTGGAAGAATGGCAATCAAATAAAGGGGGTAAGCAGAGACATCCTCCACCTCAGCTGAAAGCCTCTGGGTAAGGACACACACTGGGTGCAACCCAGAACATTCTGCTAAGATCTGAAACCTAAAATAAGGGCGTAATGTAAACACTGACAGGCTCAGACCAGACAATGTGAACCTTCCCGTCTATGCAGAGGTCGTTCAACAGAAGCAAGCACTGTGCTGTCTGCTGCTGCCACAAGTACAGATAGGCAGGGAGATGTCAAAACCTGTCACGAGTACACTTACTTACCTATTTTTCAAATGAAAACAACTTAAATCATTTATATGATTCTTTGAGAAAGAGAAACCCCAAATTTGTGAGTCCTTTATTTAGAGTGGCAGACTTTAACTGCATTCCTGAGGTATGATGAATAAATGGTAAGACTAGTAATTTCCTTGCCTCGGACAGTGACTGCCTGGCTTGGTTTGATGGGGCTGGTAGAGGGCACTGTATCACAACGAAGGATTTGGGGGAACTGCCATACTCAGTTGGGAGAACCAGCTGCTCACTAGCTGTCCTTGTGTCATTTCCAGATCCTCCTGGAACTTCTGTACCAGGTCTGTGGGTCCCTCTCCCTTCCATACTCGGGCCTGCCCCTGTGCTGGGGCCAGCCCCACCTGAAGCAGGAACTCCTAAGCTGCTTAGTCTTCTATCTACAAGGGTTTTTACTGAACCTCCACCTCCAGGCCTCAGGCCTGGGGCAGCTGCGAGACCCCTGCAGGACTCCCCAAGACTATCTCACTACCTACTAATGTGGACCTTTTGAGTTGCCAGGCCTGTGCTGAGGGAAGGCTGACTCCCCAAACAGCGGCTGGCCACAATGGGATTGGCACCTGGTTTCTGAATACTGCCTGGTGCCCGGGGGCCTGCGTTACCTGGCCTGGCCTGACACCTGCCACAGCTCTCCACCACAGCCTTGCACCTGTTCCCTCATCGCAGCCCACACGGTGTCCCTTGGCTGATGGCCAAGACTGTTGGACGGGGGGGCTGCCCTTGGACACCAGGCCTCCAGTGCCCTGACAGAAACTGGGCCTCAATTCCTTCCTCCTTCCATCCTGCCTGGCACTGTCTGAGTCACCACCCTCAAGTGCCCTGCTCATGCTGCAGGCTGCTCTCAGCCTCAACCTCCACTTCCAGAAAGTTCCACTGGCCTGTTTTGTGGGAGTCTCCTGTTGTGCTGCCTCTAATTGGCTAACCCCTCCTGCTCCAGATACGGTGTATGGGTCCTGCTTTTAAGAAGTGTATTGAGGGGTGCTTGGGTGGCTCAGTGGGTTAAAGCCTCTGCCTTCAGCTCAGGTCATGATCCCAGGGTCCTGGGATCGAGCCCCACATCGGGCTCTCTGCTCAGCAGGGAGCCTGCTTCCCCTCCTGCCTCTCTGCCTACTTGTGATCTCTGTCAAATAAATAAATAAAATCTTAAAAAAAAAGTATATTGAGTTACAAGGTAAATTACAATCCTTAGAATCATGGAACGTTACATCTGGAAGGGACTCCCTGTATCTAATTGAACTCCCGGTTCCAGGAAATTCATATGACTTGCTCAAGGTCACACCACCAGTTAGGAGGTGCAGAACTGTCACTAGCATTCAGCGGCCTCATTCCTGTCCTTATAGAGTTAATTGCTTTCTCTCGGGGATGCATTAAAAAATCTTACTAAAGCTGCTGAAAATCTGGAACTGAATGTGAACCATGTCCTATAGAAAAACTGTGGAAGACTGAGACTTGATAGGTTTTGATTGTCCCTAAGTCCCAGGGATGCTGTATGGGAAGGTCATTTAGAGTCTCCTTCCCCGTACACAAAAAACGTATATATTGTTGCAAACACCACTATGAACACCATGTAGGATGTGGGTAAAGACAGCAATCTTCTGGCAGGATGGCACCTTGTAATTTTCTAAAGACTCTTGGTAAACAGAGGGGACAGCCTGGAGGCACATTCCTGCCTTTCTGTGTCAAAGGAGTTTTTCCCAGATAAACACAAGACTGAGGGCCAGACCAGGTGAATGGTCCCTGGGGAAGGAGGTGGACTCGGTCTAGGTCCTTTTGTTCTTTATAATGAGAGAAAACTAATCGAGAAGGAGGGAGATAGAAAGACAAGAGGGAAGAGTGAGCGGAGAAGGGGGAGGTCTGATGAGACCCGGCTCTGGAAGGCCAGGGTCAGGCCTTCCTGCCCACTTGTGGAGCCATGCCAGGAGACTCGAGGCCCCCACCTCAGCCGACTTGCACGCAAACTGGAAATGACAGCTCTTACCTCAGAGGGTTGTTAGGATGAGAATCAAAAGAGGTCATGGATTTGGATGTATTTGAAAAAGAAATAAAAATGTTAATTATTATTGCCTAATGACCAAAGACCCCAGAGTCAGAGGGTTAGTAAAGCCTGAGAAGGCTTGTGGATGTTTCATTCTTACTGAATAAAGAATAAACTCTTACTGAGTTAATAGTGACTGAAAAAATTAATAAGTTCTATATATTTGAATAGTAATATGATGAATATGGGTCCCAAGTGCTTCATTCACAAATAAGTGACATTGAACCCTAGGGGGCTTCTGGATATTCTTATCTTGTCCAATTCACCCTTTCTCTCATATAAAACAGGGAAAGCCCCAGCTCATCCAAGGCTGATGATTTGGGTGAGGTCAAATGCATCATAATTTCAGTTTCTGTCTGGGCTAATCACACAACAAGCAAAAAGAGATGTCCTTCTCTTTAAATGAACATGAACTTCTATCTATTTCATGTATAGATTCTGCTACAAGCTCATTAACTGTGTCCAGTGACAAGTGTCCATACATCTCCAAGGCAGAGAAGCACGTACTCAGAGTGATACTGGATATATTCCTCCTGGGCGTGGGGGCAGCCCCAGGCAGGGAGTGCTGGAAGCTTCCAGAGCTCATGGTCAGTAGGAGTGGACATCCTCATGGAATTTGGATCTTGGGGAGCAGCTTGGGGGGACTCAGGCTGCGGGAACATGGTTCTTCCCTATGTCATCTCATCTGCACATTAACCCAAACTGTTGGGAGAGCTGCGTCTTTGGAGGCCCAGCTAGAAACTTGCACTGAGCATTGAACACGAGGGGATCAGCACATTTTAAAAAGTGGGTTTATGAGGATATATAAAAAAAATCAGGGGCAGCTGGGTGGCTCAATGGGTTAAACCCTCTGCCTTCCGTTCAGGTCATGATGTCAGGGTCCTGGGATGAAGCCCCGCATCCAGCTCTCTGCTCAGCAGGGAGCCTGCTTCCCCCTCTCTCTCTGCCTGCCTCTCTGCCTACTTGTGATCTCTGTCTGTCAAATAAATAAATAAAATCTTAAAAAAAAAAAATCAGTTCACAAACTAGAGACCCAGAAAGTGGAGCTATGGAGTAGTAAGACTGGGAGACTATCAGTGGCAGAGAAGAGATGCTTACCAGATTCCCTCAAGCCGGGGTTTGTCATTCTGTTGAAACTGAAGCTGGAGCCCACAGCTCGTGATCTAGAACAGCTGCAGGGGGCCCCACGGGGGCCCACCCACTAGTGTGAGGTCAGCCTTCAAGGAGATGGGCCTCCCTGCCTGGGCGCAAATACTGACACACGCATCCACAGCAAACAGATTTCTAAAAGCCCCATGGCACGCTAAGCATTAGTGGGGTGTCATCAGCTGCTGTAGAAGGGTCCTCACACCTTCACCTGGGTCCGTTTGGTGAATTTCAAAACATCTAACTGCTCCACAAAGGGAATTGGCAGGGCAGACAGACCAGAAAGCTAGGCTCTGTGCTTTATATGGGACTGGAAGAGAATACGCTTTGAAGACAACACTGAATGCCACAGACCTGGCGGGGGACTCGGAAAACCACTGACCTCTCCTTTTCTTTCTCATTTTGAGCTGTTCCTTCCTCAAGCGTTGACTCACTTTTTTTGTTGCGTGAAGATCACTAGAGGGGTGGGAACCTCTCCTGCTCCTGGACAACATTTACAAAGGGTGGAGCCCTCACAATTTTTGTTCGTCTATTCCACGAACAACTCGTTTGGGGTTTGTCTGGAAGAGCCGAATTTCTTCTGTTTGGCTGGGTTAGTGACAGCTGCATAAAACTACAAGGTATTTTTTTCAGTGCTGTTTTGAGCTTTCCCCAAATCGCCTGAAGAATCATGAAATGAATCTGGATTAGCACCTTAAATTGTAAACAGTCTTCAGAAAAGGATGCCTACTGATATCCTTAAGACGCGGTCTTTGAGGTTAACCAAAAAACCCACTCCAAAGTTTTCTTGTTCCTTGAACTAGAGGGATGTAAAAAACATACATAAAAGTAGAAAAGCCAAGGAAATCATTAAATTTCAAGAGATCTTTGGTAAGAGTGCCATTTTTCCTTTTTTTTTTAAAAAATATTTTATTTATTTATTTGACAGACAGAGATCACAAGTAGGCAGAGGCGCAGGCAGAGAGAGAGGGGGAAGCAGGCTCCCTGCCGAGCAGAGAGCCCAATGTGGGGCTCGATCCCAGGACCTGAGATAATTTCTTGAGCCGAAGGCAGAGGCTTTAACCCAGTGAGCCACCCAGGCGCCCCCAAGAATACCATTTTTCAATTACTACAGTGTCATTTTTATGGTACCTAGAGCTTGATCACTGCATAACCCAGCAGGATATTAGCGACAGGACACACATGCTTCACTCCCGGATGGGATGTGAGTTCTGCCTAATTAAGATGTTGTCTAAATAGATACAGTCCACACCCCAACTTGACCTGACACTTCCTAGGTGACATCTGAGAACTTGCTCGTTGCATGCTTTCAAAACATCAGCTTGAGAAACCTCTAAACTTTGCAGGGTTCCCGTAGATACACAATTTCACAGACCACACGGAATGACAGATGGACACAAAAAGCAATAGTGAGAAGCTACAGAGGCTGTCCACTGTGCACTTCCGGTGAATGCTCTCCAGACAGAGGAGCCAAACTAACTGAGGTTTGAGTTTATATTTTGCAACTCACAGGCTGTGAGGCCTCAGGCAAGCTGCTTCACGTCTCTGAGCTTCAGTTCCCTTGCAAGAGAAACAAAGATAATGCCTAACTTTGTGCAGTTATGGGTCGGATCAGAGGAAGGAATGCATGAAATACTCATGCTAGAGCTTGTGGGACCCCGCAGCCCCTCAGGAAGGGGTGGCTAGCAAAGCAACACCTGATCAACAGAAACAGAGATCAGTACGCCAAAATCAAAGAGCATTTTCACGTAATATAAACACTGCAAAGAGGAAAACTCGAGTGACTCCTTGTCCATTTAAGCAACAACAAATTCACAAACGGCCAGAAAGTCACAGATGGCATAGAGCAGATGACATCGGTTGTTGCTAAGGCCACCGTGCTGAGTTCTGCTCCTTCTCTGCCCGAGCCTCTATTTCCTGTCCCCTTTCGCAGGATGGTACTGTCCTGGGGGCACCCTGGCACTGAGAAGCTCGGGCTGGAAACAGCCACACTTCAAACATTTTCCTTTATGAAAAGGAACAAGCCAGATACTATTCTTAGGAAGAAAAAAAAAAAGACAAGCTTTTTTCCTAGAAGCAAGCTCAGCAAGTTGCTCGCCACCCTGCCCCCACCCTGGCCCCTGCATGGGCACAAGGGCTTTCATTATTCCCAGTGTCAGGACAGAGCAGCATTCTGTGGCCGCACGGATCCATCCTTCGGAGGGCCTGACACTCAAGGAGGGCAGAGAACTCCCAAGGTACTTGGCACTCCCAGTGGACTCTCTGCTCTCTATTTATTTCTGTGATGGAATACAGCTGTGCCTTGAGTCACTAGGCCTTCAGCAGTGACTGGTGAAGTAGAAATGTCCATGGGTGTTTTAAATAGTTCCAAGACAATCCTGAAATCTACAAAGGCTAGCACAGGATCCGCCATCTTGGTTATAGAATAAAGGTTGGGCATCGTGGGCCCTGCAGTGTAAGTTCGGATATCTCAGCCGAAGAAAAGAAATACCACACGCCAAGGGGCCACTGAAGGGGCAAAAGCAGACTTCTCACCACCAGGCCTTAGGCCCAGGACTAGCGCACAAGAGAAAGCACTTTAGGAAAGCTGCAAATGGATTTACGAACTGGTTAGCATGACTTCCTATTAGAAATGTAAGAAAAATGGCTGTAGCTCCTGACAGGAAGCAGCTGGACCAGGAAGACAGGATAAAGAATGGTGCCTCACAGGGGCACCGGGGCTGCAGAGCAGCTGAACAAGACAGGCGTATGCGTGAGCTCGCATGCATGTGATGGAATGTGAGCAGAGGGTACAAGAGCAGATGGAGGGTCTATCTGTGGGGTCAGAGAGAGATGCTGCCAGGTATCTCTTTCGTTTTTTAAAGATTTTACTTATTTGTCAGAGAGAGAGAGAGAGCACAAGCAGGGGGAGCAGTTGGCAGAGAGAGGAGCAGATTCCCTGCTGAGCTAGAAGCCCTTTGTGGGACTCGGTCCGAGGATCCTGGAATCATGACCCCAGCCAAAGCAGACGCTTAACCCACTGAGCCACCCATGTGTCCCTTGTCTCTCTGCATACAGGAGAGAGGCTGCTGGGTGAGCACGCTAGCACGAAGACAGAGGCTGCTGGGCGGGGATGAGGAGGTGTGAGAAGGCCAATAGCCTGTCTAGCAGTCACCCTCAGTGAAGCCCACCCTATCTCCCCTGGCCAGGCCCCCTCCTCAGAGCATGGTGTCCACACCCTACTCAGCACACAGCTCATCATTCTGTAATGGGGGGTTTGGGGCCTCCTCCTGCACCCGCTAGGCTCCCTACTTCTGGCCCTGGTGCTGAGCAAAAAGGGCCTGAAATGAGGCAAAGTGGTGGTGGATTCCAGAAGGCTGGCCTGCTGGCCCCCAAGGCCAGACCATAAGTCACTCTCTGTGCAGCAAGAGGATAAGGGAGGGGGCATGGTTATTTGCCACCAGAAGATGAAGGGGAAGCACCCTTCCTCCCTTCCTGACCAGGGTGCCAGTGGATTTGGCCAGGCAGGCCTGTGGACTGGTTTTAGCTTACGCGACAAGGCACAGGGCTAGACTGAGAGCAGGAGTGCTGTCTTTTCGTCCTAGTTCTGTTACTCGTGGATTAGGTGACCCTGGAGAGATTGCTTATTCTACTGCGTCCTTCTGATATCAGGGAGTGGTTAGACCTCCGGCTCCCAAACATGGGTAATTATCAGAATCATCTGGGGAGATTTACGCGCACATACACACACATATGCATACTCACAAATACACACGTAGACATGCACACACACACACACACGAATCAGAAGCTCCAGGGCAGGGCCTGGGAACTTACATTGGTTCAAGCTCCTGGATGCTTCTGATGATCACTGACACTAGCCGAACTCTGCAGGCACTTCCAGCAGGAGAGGAATATGGGATTTTATAAAGGGGCACACAGTTTTTAAAGAACCATTTTTTCCCTACACTTTTTCTTAGAGGAGTCATGTGCTTTTCTCTCTTCAGGGATGTGACAAGTGCTTAAGGATAGCGAGCAGATGACCGCTCACCCCATCGGATGCGCACCCCTGGGGCTGCGAAAAGGTTCAGCTATGGGGTGGAGGAGCCCAAAGCCACACAGGGTATGCTTGTGGGCACCCACCCAGTGTGAGGACCCACTGCGACCCCCGAAGTAGCATACTCAGGGTGTTGGGCTGACCCAGCCTTCCTCCTATGACAACTCTGGCTCCAGGCAGGGACGTCGGACACTGGGGTCCATGCCTTAGGCAAAGGGTGACCAGTGGTGGCATCTCAGCACCCTACAGGTTCCACCAAGGCCACCTCTCTGGCTCGGCTGGCTACATCCCCCTTGTCTTAAGACAACAGCAGTTCCCAGGTGGTGCACGCACTGACCCCTCCCTGTGTGCCCTGCGAGCGAGGTCACACTGAATCCTTACAAGCATCCTATGACGTGCTCTTACGCGCTCCATTTTACAGAGCAGGAAACAGGTTTGGAAAGGTTGAATCATCTGCCTGAGATCACAGAGTAGGAGCCAGAATCTAAACAGGCCTCCCGATCTTGAGGCTCTCTTCTGAACCTTGTTCATGTTCCATCCCCTCCTGCGCCCCCACCTTCCCCTAGAGAGGAGACAGCGGGAAGGTGTCCCCTTGGCTCACCTTGGCCAGCCTCGCTCGCTTGATGAGGTCATTGAGTTTGCGCACGGCCGCCTTCTGGGGAAGGCTCTGGATGTCTCTGAAGAGGTCTTGGGCCTCAGCCTCAAAGAGGCGGCGGTTGTCAGTGTTCTGCAGGGGCTGTGCCCAGAAGGAGCCGATGTAGACACGGAGAACCTCGGGTGTGTTGATGACCTTGCCCAGGGACCACATGAGGGCCCCGTAGACGCGCATCAGCTGCTGCGTGTCCACTTGGTCGGCCTTGTTCAGCACCACGCGGATCTTGTCATCCTGGCCCCGGAAGGCCTTGATGGCCTCCGAGAACTCATCTGAGATGTCCAGTTTGTGAGCATCGAAGAGCAGGATGATCCTGTCCACGCGCTCTGCGAACCACTGCAGGACCTGGCAGAAGTCGTAGCCTGGGCGGAGAGAAGGGCATGTCAGTGGGGCTGGGGCTCAGGACTGGGGGACATGTGGGGGCGCCGGAGACTGCCAAGGACAGAGCGCCACCTCCAAGGAGGTGATGGAGGTCTGATGGCCTGAAAATCACCTCAAGTGAACCCCCTGGGGCTGGACACATTTAGGAGTCAATGCTGGGGATCCCAGGAGCTCTCCCCTGGGAAGAAACAGGGCCTGAAAAGGTGCTCGTGGTCCTTCGGATGGGGCGTCCTTTCCAGATCTGTGATTTCATTTAGTCCCCACAAATCTCTTACTTCCCCTGATATGGTCCTTGGGATCGATGGCAAATTGGATCAATGGGTCTATAAAACCACAGGCCCTGGGTGAAAACTCTCCTTTCGGCCAAAGGTTCGCCTTTCTGAAAGTAGCGGAGATGGAGAAGGAAGAAAACTCAGGGGTTGCTTGGGGTCCTGTGGTGTCACCACTAAGCACAACAAAAGAGGAAATGTATTCTCTTATCCTAAGTTTTTAGGTGTTAAAAAGGCCAAATGTTGGCCTGCCCCAAAACGGTGACCAATATTTATCATTTGGACTATTTATAAGTAAGTTGTAAATATTTTTAAAAGATCATGTCTCACAGCCATTGTGTGAAGTGGTCTCTTGCCAATTTCTTTTTTTAAAATGGCCAGGCCCACAACAAATTGTTTAGTTCACTTTGGCCATGTGCCAATAGGCTCCAAATCACACAGCTCTGTAAACACTTCTCACAGGCCCTGGTCAAGGCCTGTTTTGGGTCTCCCCCAGGGGAGGCAGAGGCCCCTGAAAAGCAAACAAGAGAAGACCAGTCCCACAAGGTTTATTTTTAATCCCAGTCCGATTAGCTGTGGGCTCAGGCTTGGCATAGCCCAAAGAGGGCCAAGATGGTGCCTTTCCTGACTCCTGTCACCCCTTTTTATAGGTCTTGAGAACCTCCAAACACATGTAAAGGTCTAGAAAATAATATGATGAATGCTGATGTACCTATCACATAACTTAAATAAACCTTGACCTTTCACCTTATTTGCCTCAGATGCTTTAAAGGATTTAAGAGTACTTTCTGTAACAAAATCCTGCATAGCCGTGAGGATGAATTAGATTTTCCCTCATCAACACAGGCAAATCTCCAAAGGAATGGTGAGCAAAAAACCAGTTTCAAAAGGATAGGTCCAGCATGATAACATTCACATAAAGTGTTAAAAAACAAAGCAACACTCAGGAGCCGAGAGATATGTATACGACAGCACAAATACAAAAATACTAATGCTAATTTTGGAATACTGATGAACTCCGAGGGTTCTAAGGTAGATGAGAAAGCATCTAAAGAATGATCTATTTTCAAAAATAAAGGGGGTCAGTGGATGAAAGTTTTCATAAATTTGAAGAACAAGTATAAGAGAACTGGTTGAAGAACAAAAGGATTTAGACACAATTTTTTTTAAGATTATTTATTTATTTATTTGACACAGACAGAGATCACAAGTGGGCAGAGAGGCAGACAGAGAGAGGGAAGCAGGCTCCCTGCTGAGCAGAGAGCCCGATGTAGGGCTCGATCCCAGGACTCTGGGATCATGACCTGAGCCGAAGGCAGAGTCTTTAACCCACTGAGCCACCCAGGCGCCCCTAAACACAATTTTAGTAAAGAACATGAAACATTTCAAAAACGCTAACGTTCCCTGCAGACCCCTCCCGAGCACACTCCCCGGAGGAAGCTCCGCCCTGAGCGTGGTGTTTCTTGTCATTACACGTTTGCGTGTTCCTGGTTCAGACTTTTCACTTCTCTATTCTGTCCCACAGTGGCACTCCCTGATTCCTTGGGGACAAAGTGGGCAAAGGCAGTTGTTTGAATGTGGGCCAGAGTTGATTTTCAAAACGATCAGCAGTCAGGTGAAAACAGAAGAAAATCAAAGGCCCATGGCATGGGGGTCGCACAGCAGTACGTAAAGATTCTGAGTGCAGATTTCACTTGGAGTTCTGTCCCTACCAGGACAGGGCAAACTGCCTCCCAAGGGGCTTCTGTCATTCCAGACTGATCTGGGTCAGCCCGATAGCCCCAGACCCTGGCTCGGAGATCCTAAGCAGATGATGGCTCTGTGCCCGGGGAGCCAGGAAGATGTTTTAGAACTAACCACCAGAAGGACCTGCCTGTGGACTCTGGAGTGGACATGAGCTGAATTTGCTGGGCACCCTTCCTGTTGGACCAGGGGTCCCATGTGGGCCATAGATACTGAAGGTGTAGCGGACAGTCCGTCACCTCACTCACTGGCAGGTTGGGGTACAGACAGATGACCTAGAACCAGAGAATCATCTCCTTCCACCAGGCAGAGGTATTGGATCTTGAGGGAATGATACAAAGTCACAGGGAAAATGAGAATTTCTTTCTTTCCTTTTTTTTTTTTTAAAGATATTAATTATTTATTTGAGAGAGAGAGAGAGAGAACTATTAGGGGGAGCAGCAGAGAGAGAGGGAGAAGCAGACTCCTGGGCGAGCAGGAAGCCAGATGTGAGGCTTGATCCTGGGACTCCAGGATCATGACCTGAGCCCAAGGCTGACACTTAACCACACAGGTGTCCCCAAAATGAGAATTTCCTAATGGCAGTGGTACTGAACTGAGAGTCAGGTGGTAGTAGCTTCCTCACCTAGTTTTCGAGACTAGCTTTTCAACCTATTAATTCTGTGAACAACTTGATTTTCTGCAAAATTTCCTTTTCTGCTTATATCAGAATCAGCTTCTTTGGTTTGCTGCCAAGAATCATAGTTGGTGAATAATTTTCCCCACATCAGAAATACTCTTCCAGGCAGCGCCCAAAGACATTTGGTACCCCCATTGCTGTCACTGCCTGCACACATGCAATTTCAGCCACAGACACACAAATCTCTTCTTCCAAGGACCACCTGGGTTGAGTGGTTGGCCTTGACAGTACCCATATTTAAACTTTCACTTAAATTTGGGTTTCTCCTTTCTTTTCCTTTTTTTTTTTTTTTAAGATTTTCTTTATTTATTTGATAGAGAGACACACAGTGAGAGAGGGAACACAAGCAGGGGGAGTGGAAGAGGGAGAAGCAGGCTTCCTGCTGAGCAGGGAGCCCAAAGCGGGGCTCATCCTAGGACCCTGGGATCATGACCTGAGCCGAAGGCAGCCGCTTAACAACTGAGCCACCCAGGCGCCCCAAACTTGGGTTTCTAATAGTTATTTTAAATGTCTTTTTAAAAGATGTCATTCCAATGCTTCATTGAAATAAAAAGTGGGAACAGAGCTGCTAGATAGAAGTTTACTGTAAGTGAGGCCACTACTCATCTCTGGAGGAAGGACCACATGGCCATATTTTCTTGTTTTAAAGTAACCAGGAGAACTAAAGATTTAAGAAGTACAGGTAGATACAACTGTGTTCTGTTTGTCACTGAACAGGTCTACAGTATTATTTGTTACACATTAGGGAGTATAATCAAAGGTAAAGAAATCACCAAGTGTCTCAGGAGAAAGCAAATAATTACCACAGCTGGGAGAGCTTGGTCTGCTCATTTTTTTCATACCTAGTTGTTATTAAAATGATTTTTTAAAAAGATTTATTTATTTTGGAGGCGGGGAGGAGGGGCAGAGGGAGAGGGAGAGAATCTGGAGTGGACTCCCCACTGAGCACTGAGCCACATGTGGGTCTCGATCTCACAACCCTGAGTTCAAGACCCGAGCCAAAATCAAGAGTCAGATGCTTAACTGACTAGCCACCAGGCAGCCCTCACTTTAACCATTTTTTTTAAAGATTTTATTTATTTATTTGACAGAGATTACAAGTAGGCAGAGAGGCAGGCAGAGAGAGGAGGAAGCAGGCTTCCCGCTGAGCAGAGAGCCCGATGTGGGGCTCGATCCCAGGACCCTGGGATCATGACCTGAGCTGAAGGCAGAGGCTTTAACCCACTGAGCCACCCAGGAGCCCCACTTTAACCATTTTTAAAGTATACAGTTTATTGGCTTTAAGCACATTCTCATTGTAGTGCAATCATGACCATCTGCCTACAGAATTCTTCATCTTCCCAAACTGAAACCAAGTACCCATTAACATTAACTTCCCATGCCTCCCTCGCCCAGCCCTGGCAAACACCATTCTATTTTGTCTTTGTGAATTTGACTACTCTTGGTGTCTCATGTAACTGGAATCATACAGTACCATTTTGTGACTGGCTTCGTTCATTTAGCACAATGTCCTCAAAATCCACCCCTGTTGTAGACTTTGTCAGAATTTCCTTCCTTTTTAAGGTCGAATAGGTCTGCTTGACTCTTAAATCTTCATGAGAGAAGACAGGTACCAAGGACTTATCTACCAAAAAGTTCCAGCTGATTTTAAAGAAACGACTTAATTTAATGATGTTATTTAGTCTGTCTGCTGAAAGCAAATGGTGACACAGAAGGACCCACAGATCACTGATTATCAAAGTAAGGTCTTAGACTCAAGTAAGCTGCTTGCCGAAGGTGAGACTTACAGATCCCTCCCTAGAAGCAGGGAATCAGAATCTCTGAGGCTGGGCTTGGTGGCCCGCATTTTTTAAACCTCCCAGATAACTGGCGATGCCTGGGGGTGTGAGCACCGCTACTCTGAGCGCCAAAGCAGATGTTTAACCAACTGAGCCACCCAAGCACCCAAATTTATTATTAATCAATCAATTAATGAATTAATCTTCATGAGTCTGGGGTAGGTACTATTACTGTTTTCATGAACATGACTCTTTTTGCAAATATATTACTTCTCTACTGTAAAAAGTTAACACAAATTACATACAACCAGAAATCAGGCGGTAACGAGGTAAGGTGATGGATGTGTTGATTAGCTGCAAGAATCATTTCACTGTATATGTACATTAGATCATGTTGTATACCTTCAGTATACACAATTCTTACCTGTCAATTATGCCTCAGTAAAGCTGGGGGGAAAAAAAGGAGAAGAGTATATACAGGCTTTGGACTCAGGCTGCCTGAGGTCTAATCC